TATTTTTTGAGTTTAAATCGAATTGAATTGGATAAAATGTATATTCAAATATTTCAGAACCACGGACAGCACTTGAATAGTTTTTAAAGGGTCAGGGTTGCATTACATTTATTGTATTCATGCAATTTTTATTTCCATCTCTTCGACTTATTTAAAAATAAAAGGTTAGAGTTACTGCAACATTTAATTTCCCTTTGCGATTAATAAAGTGTTTTTTGAGTTTAAATGGAATTGAATTGGATAAAATGTATATTCAAATATTTCAGAACCACGGACAGCACTTGAATAGTTTTTAAAGGGTCAGGGTTGCTATTTTTGCATTAAATTTATTGTATTCATACAATTTCCATCTCCATCTCCATCTCTTCGACTTAAAATATTCAAAAAAAAAGAAAATTAGAAACAATCCACTGGACTTTGTTTACAAGTTTCTCTTCCCATCCAGGAAGCTTTTTCAATTCAAAATGTCAGGCATAGCGTTGAATTCGAGGTTTTATACAGTAGCCCATCGAAACCTTGTTTTGTTTTGAAAACATGCAAATTGAAATGGAATGGGACGACCCCTTCATCCGTATCTATTTGCATGTTTAAAAAAAAACAACAAAAAAACAAGGTTTTGATGGGCTACTGTATAAAACTTAAAACTCAACACTATTCCAGACATTTTAAATTGAAAAAGCTTCCTGGATGGGGAGTGAAACGTCTTCAAACTTGGAAACAAAGACCATTGGATTGTTTTTTTATTTTCTCTTTTTTCAATGACTATGATCTGGATAAGAATCTTCACCAAATTAAAATATTTCTTTATTGGCTTCACCAAGCAAATCTATGGAGGAAAAAAATCCTCCCTGTAGGCCTCATTCAGAGCTTTAGAAATACTATATTTTGTATAGTAAACTTGAATCAGAGTTATTGAAAAACTTTACTCGAGTGTAAAGATTTACTGTTGGAAAAGATAAATAGGAAAGCTAAGATAGATCAAATTTACAATCTACCAACATATTTTCTATATGCAGTCATTACAGAGTTGCTGGCATCTTTGTCCAGCACTCAATAGCCTTTTAACAGAAGAAAAACGCTTCATGGATGCACAGAGGAAACATGCTAACAGCACAATGAAGGATCTTAACCAGGATTTACATCCTGAACCTTCATGCTTCAAGGTGACAATAGTACCTACTGTATCCCTAATGCAGTGACATGAAAAAATCAAATACTTAAAAGTAGGTTATTTAAGATTAGCATGATTAGGCTTTGCTTCCTGATAACAATAGCACCAAGAACCATGGGAGAAATAATTTGGTTAATGGTTATATTTTTATGCAACACAGATTCATTTTATCTTTCAAAGCACATGCTCCTAACCTTGAGCCGACTATTTTAGCAAGCAAAAAAAACTATCTGGACAATCTACATCATCTGTTAAGTTGGTGTATTTCAATATGAAAAAATATTTCTTGATTAATTCCCTGAACATAAAAAAAAAAATAATAATAATTTAGCAGTAGACCAAAATTTAGCCAGTGTATGTTCTATTGCCTATCAACTTCTTTAACTGTATTTTAAATTTGACATTTAAATCCTTTTAATGTATATTTTTCTATTATTGCAGTTGCAAAACCATTAGGCAATATTAGGCAGATGCCTAGGACCCCAAGTTCCTGGGGGCCCCATAAAACTCTGTTTACATGTATGGTTAATAAAACTATTCCTTATTTGTGCACGTTAATCATGTTTTTCATAAAAATCCTTTCCCTAAAATGCCATCAGAACCAGGTCAATAGAGGGCGCTAGGGCGCCGCCCCACCCACCCAATGACCCTGATTAAGACATAAAAAACTGAATTTTTTTTGTAATTTAATTTTAAATTAACATTTAAAATATTTTGAAATATATTAATATGTAAGATGTGCAAGATACATATTTAATATTTTTTGACTTGTAAAGCGTATTCAATTTTTCGTCGGATATATGACGTATTTCCACCATGCAGCACAAAAATCTTTGTCCATTGACTCTCGTTGAAAGCTGTACATGCGCAGTAGCTCCTCTGTAATACCAAGCTATAGGAGAGCTTGGGGCGCAGCTCGCTCTGAGCTGACAGGAAGTTTATTTGCTCTCCACCTCCCGCCACAGTGCCAACATATTCTCATTATCAGTTCGTATGAAATCGTACGAAAAGTTATGCATAGTATTTCGTACGTTTTTGACACTTTCCTCGAAAAAACATATCAGTGCTCATGCGCAGCCAGACAGACGAAAAAAAGCAGATCCGCGGACGGACGTAAAACTGGGACGGACAGTGCAATAATTACTTCATGATGTCTCTCACTAGGTTGCTTGCTGTTTTGTATCTTAGGGTTAGGGTTAATTGTATGTTAAATTCTATGTTATTGAATTGTGCGTAAGATGCGCATACGCACGGATATCTTGTCTCGAGGCAAGACGTAAAAATACGACCAAATACGACGTAAAAAACGTCAAACACGTACGAAATACTGCGCATAAACTTTTCGTACGATTTCATATGAACTGATAATGAGAATACACATGACAGTGCAGACGTTTTGCGGGTGACCGACTGGTCGAGTCGCTTGAGTTGGAGACGCATTAGAGAGAGAAAGAGGCCCAAGAACGGTCCTTTTCCAGGACCTGGTTTAGCAAGAAAGCGTTGCTAACTGCATTTAGCGAGGCTAACACTTTATCCTGCTTTCCCAGGCCTCCTTTTTCAAACCTGAAGATCTGAGCCAGCATGGATAAAGACAGCTAGGACTGATCTAAAGCACTTTTTAGAAAAGGCAAAGATGAATGAAAAAGAATTGACATGGAAAAAAATGAAATATATTGTACTTTTTTTTTGAGGTTTGTTAATTTGCATAGTTGCCCTTAAATAAACAGATTCTCAGAAAATAAAAAGTTTTTATACATTTAAAAAATGTAAGATTGATGTACAAAAAGTAAACCTGTACATGAAATTATGTTTTGTTTTTATACATATTTTTATAATGTTTTTTGTTGTTGGCATTCATATAAATATACTAGTGTGATAATTTAGTATACAATTTACTGGTTTTTATGTATAACTCTATTTTAAATTTATAGCACCCCTTGGAGAAAGCTCCACCAGCCGCCACTGATGCGAAAGCTTAAGGCTGATTTATACTTCGAAAGGTGTTGCAGTGAATGCAGAGATGTCCCCATCCCGCTCTCCAAAATTGTAGGTGACCGCAGACAGGAGGCCTCTGATTGGTCAATTCTACATCTGCTCTACACTATGCATCTCCTTACTGGCTTGTTTTGTTTGTATGACCATGATTGTGAAAAAACGACTCCTGAAAATGGACCAGCTGGAAGAGCGAGGTGCGCGAGAACGCTGGGACCCTTTTTCCACCTGGATCCCCACTCTTTTTCGCCTGTGTCTGCAATATCTAGACCCACAGTTAGTTTGCGATTTTTTCCCTTTTGCTTTGTGGCGTGGAATAACATAGCGCTTCAATATTGAGCATAAATCAAAAATGTCTGCATCATACCTGCGACACACTGCTGCAGGAGTATAACCAGTCCTTTATGATATTAAGTGTGTCCCCCCTCCTGTCTTTGCCTAGGGCCCCAAATTTCCTAAATCTGCCCCTGGCAGTTGCAATGACAGCAATATTTTTTGCAATGTTTACTTCAGTGCTTTATGTGTTTAAACACATAAAGCAAATTGCTTCTAGTCAGGCTGTTATGAGCTGTTCTAATCAGCTCATGAGTTATGATCTAAGCATGGGCGGTTCTAAACAGGGTCCAAAGGGGGCCAGTGCCCCTGTAGACCATGTCCTGGCCCCTGTACTGTAGACATAAAACTCGATAAAAATTCTAATGATGATATGCGCTGTCACAGTCACGGTTAATGATAGGTCCTTTGGATCTATTTCTTTTTTTTTTTCTTTACAAACTCTGTTTAATTATCTAAAAACAATAAGGTGATAGCTTCAGTGGAATTGAGATAGGATCCCAGTTTTTATCTGCTAAATGTTTTTTTTTAAAAAAAAAAAAAAAAACGAAAATACTCTAATTTTTACAGCTGAATGTATCCGTTTTTCTTGAGTTCTAATTCAGATTTTATAGAAAACTGTAATTTTAACTTAAATTAAAGCTACAGTGTGTAACTTTTAGCGACATCTAGCGGTCAGACTGCAGACTGCAGCAACATGAACATCTCCCCCCCACCGCTTCTCCCCCCCAACAGTACGGCGAGCGTTACGGGACAAAATGTCTTCCACGACGTCCGCATCACCTACCTTCTCAAGTGATGAGGTTTGTTTACATAGATAATTTTACAGATAGTATTTCATTAGTCTGTGTAGGGTATAGATTTCATGTAGACTTAAGATAATAAATATACCCGTTATTTTTTCTACATCGTTGTGACGTTTTGGCGATCTCGCAATCGCTAGTTTGTTGGCTCTGCGCTGCCGTAGCGCAAAGATGTCTGCCTCCATGGCTGCGAGACCCGCTCCTATGTAATTATAAATAACGAATTCTAAGGCAACGCAAATATTCAGGTTAAGAGGCTGAGCTCGTAGATGATGATAAATAACATAGTTATGTATAATATATTACATTTCTGACTGTATATCCCTGTAATTATTACACACTGTAGCTTTAAGTAAAAAAAAATATGTAAAATTCCTGAATTATGAATGTATGATGACCTAATAAGACATGGAATTTTAATTATACCTAATTTAACAGAAATTTCACTTCATCCGGCTATTTAATATATTTGAATCCTTTGCTCTGTTTTTTATTTTAAGCTTTTCTTGGCCCCCATGGAAACACGCGGGCCCCCCGGTACATTTTTGTCTAGAATCGCCACTGGATCTAAGCAATACCTATTTCACCATCCAGGGTTCAAAGACATTAGAAACAGAAAGAGGGTTTTTAAGGATATTCGACTTGTAAAGCTGAATGTTTTGATCTTATTTCATACCTGATGTTCGGGTCTCTGAACCTACCTGATGCTGCCTGCATCCAGCCACAGATTTTGTAGACGGTGGAGGTGCTGAGGAGGAAGAAGAGGCTGAAGCAGCCGATGCAGGTGACCACCAACATCATTGACATTCCGATGAAGAAGGAGGCGGCCTTGAACGCAGTGGAGGGGATGGCGGCGAACTCGGTGAAGCTGCCCTGACAGTCCAGGTCCCTGGAGTGTCCGTCCCCGATGCAATAGTGGAACAGGCCGAAGTAGCCGATCTGCGGGGTGTCCATGCCATCCCCGATCCAATAGGGCTGCGAGAAGATGGTCACGTTAACGATGCCGAAGAGGATCGTGAAAATGGCCCACAGGAGTCCGATTACACGGGAGTTGCGGACGTAATTGGTCTGGTACAATTTCGCGGCTTCTGCAGATGGTAGCATTGATGCGGCAGATCCAGGTATCATCTTACGCAGAGCCGAAAAATGAATGAAGGTTTGCGATCCGTCAGTGGAAAAACGAGAGAACCTCACATTTATCTCATAAGAAGATTTTCTCCCTCCTTCCTTTTTGCAGCATTATCATTTAAATAATAATAAAAAATCAGGATCGGACTATCTGTGCCTGTGCAGCTGCAGCACATCTGTCAGGCGGGATCAGCTCATGACGTCGCATCCCCCAAAAAGCAGGCAGAGGAGCAAAGTGAGGAGAGCTTGAACCCTGGATGTGACTCTGACAACTCAAACCGCCTCCCTCTGATTCGCTCGCAGCTCATCGCTGCCGCATTTGGACAAACTTGGAAAAATCCCACCGAGAAAGACGCGTTTAAAAATGAATTTCAGCTGAAAGCAACAGCTTGTTATTAGTAAACGTCTCCAAATGGGGTCGCGTTCACTAACAAGGACGCAGCGGCTCACGAATCAAAGCGTCCCACTGCAAATTACGCATTCAGATATAACGCCTGCCTCTGTTTGGCCGTGAAGCAGGGATAGATGGAGAGGCAGCAGCATCCACTGAGCTGCCGGTGATGCTGCGAGTCACAGAGGGAGGGGCGCACAGATGGTGGACGGACCCACAGCCTGTCCGCCAGCCACGCGCGCGTGTGCTCGTGCGAAAGATGACACACACCTTGAGGAGAACGCTGCGTCAACATATAAGGAACTGACGACGCATCGGATGCAAACACATCAGCAGCACATGCGCGTCCGCGTTGCTTTCAGCTGGATGACAATCTCCCTTTAACCCGAATACCAGAGCAACACTCAGCATTTAACACAAGGAGGTTATGCAACAACCAACTACACATATATTCAACGAAAAAAGCAATAAAAATGAATGTTTGTGGATAAAAATCACAATTTGAATAAAAATAGTGCATCCCTAAAATAAATAGATAAATACATTTTGTTTGGAACAGCTCACTGGACAATTCCAATATTTTTTAAAGTGAAAAGTAGTAAAATAGGCTAAATATATAAAAACAGTAATATAAACATATGACTGTAAATTTACAGTTCGAATGTTTTCTTATTTTTTGTTTTGTTTTTTTCTTTAATATAATGATACAATATAATACTTATAATAAAATACAATACAATAACCCTTTTTAAAGGAATAGTACACCCAAAACATGATTAGCCTTCATTTTCTACTCACCCCCATGCTGAAC